TATTAATAGCAAGAAAATGGAACCACTTTACCTAAAACACATTAATCATCAAGGAAATGCCGGAGCTCGACATTTACTATCCGAGCATCACTATAAAGGCTTACGATTCGCGCGGATTTGGCTGCTTTAAATATGCTGGAATCTGTATTATCCCTAACATCCATGTCTTCCTGGAGCAATTAATAACCGAGGAAGATTATGATGTGCAGATATACGAGTCGAAATTCATGCAGAAATTCCAGTTGGCGAAACGGCAGACGGCAATAGTGTGTTAGTGCGCTTTTAGTATTATTGTTATTTAAATGGTATTATTGTGTTTATTATAAAAATGTTTTAAGTAATAAACATTATTTAATACATTTTTATAATAAAAATTAGATGCATTTACTTTATTATATTTTATTAAAAATGTATTACACGTATAACACATTTAATATATTTTTATAATAAATATTAAATAATTATCTAATACGTATAATATTAATACATTTAGTTTTTATTATGAAAATGTATTAAATGCATTACATTTTGAATATATACATATATTAAAAATATAATACAAAAATATAATTTAATAAGGTAGAATATATATTTTTAATATGAGATACAATAAAGCTAACTGCATATTGTAAAGAGCAAAGAATATTTAAGGAAACTTAAAAATTGGAATTATTATTTTTTTCTATTGTTATTGGTACTATTATAAATTTTTATATTGTCTCATAAAAATAATTATAGGCTTTTTATATAATATTGTTTTTGTTTTATGTTTCATACAGTACCTTTGCCAATCGATTATAGTCCGTCGAAGGAGGAGAGCAAAGGTCTCATTGCGTATAAGAGAATGGCTGCAACGGACATCCGTTCTAAGCTGAAGAGGTTGCTTGTAATCATGAAGAGGATATTAAAATTCAAGATCTTTACCAAGAGAAAGAAAGTGAAAATTTACAAAGATAGCGATGATGAAACTCTCGATTGGTGGAGTAAATATTTTGCCTCCCTTCAGGTTCATATAAAAATTTTAAATAGTATAACTAATGCCAAAATTATTTTTTATTACTTTGCATGAAAAATTTATGAACATAATAAATTATTGAAACTTTAAAGCTCTTTTTATCTTAATTATTTTAATTTAATTATTTTAATCAAAAGTGTATTTATATTTTTTAAAATTATAACTTCTGATAGATTGATTAATTATTCTAACAATATTTTAATTTTGGAATTTAATGTTATTGAGATGTTTTAATAATAATTTAAAAATAATCTAATTTTCACACAAGTTGAAATGTTTGTTGGTTTTAAATGATTGACAATTACTGTATTATTATAAACATTAATCAGCATTTAAACCCTGCTTGAGTATGGTATTCCTTATAAATTTTTATCTTTTTTTATCTCTATAATTTTTGGTACTAAATTAAATCATGTAAATCTAACTGCGATAATCGCTAGACATTAAACTGCTTAAATACTTAGCTACTTATGTATTTCAGAAATTCAATTGTTTGTGTATCTAACGGCTAAGGAGCTTATTGTTAGTAGTTTAATTATCTAAATACTTATATGATTAAATATTTAATAATTTACTAGCTTATTTGTTTAGCAGTTTAACAATTCTAGATATTTTTATCTTGCTTATTTTTTTTTAGTTAAAATTTTTTATTATATACGGCAAAAAAAATTAAATTATAGGATTTATGACTTCGTAAATTTTGTAGCTTCCTCTGCGTCGTAAATCTTGATAGTTTCCTCTGCATGAATCTTTAAGCTTTCCGAAATTTCCCCTGATTCAGCTTTATTTCCCGATCATCGTAAATCGCGTTGTTGATAAATGAATCGGTTTTGATCGAAATCATGTAGAACACGAGTCTTGATTGACTGGGATCAATCAGCTGGGATGTTTGATAATGCAAATTATTGACGTTGGATTCGCAGGAAGAGAGAAATAGAGAATTGGGAATCACGACAGCGTATCGTCGTAAACCCGTGACGACGTTCAAGGTACTATTTAATGCACTTGCCCAAACTAGAGTGCTTAGACACTGAAATCAGATCTATTCTACGGAGCTGGAGATGCAGCCGCAGTTCGAAGGATTTCAAGACCGACTTCGCACATTTGAATTGTGGCGCGGAAGGAAGGGAGAAAATCCCGAGTATGCCGGAGATAATTACGCCGGCAAATTTAAGGTTAATTTACTTGAAAAAAATGTCTAAACAAAAAATTGAGATTAACTTTATAACGAGCGTATCCGAAATTCAGCTTGTGAGCTAAACGCTACTTTTTCATCGTTTCATTGAGCGAGACAGATAAATAACAAAAAAGAATAAACGCTAAAGCGGCTAGTCACCGGGCAGAGTTCTAACCTTTATTCTTTTTCTTTTCTCTTCATCTCGTTCAACGAGATAATGGAAAGGGGAAAACGATTAACTTGCGAGCTAATTAAGTTTTGGACGGAAGCTTCTTAGTATGAAAAGAATTTATCTAGTCTTCTTTGATTACAAATTAACATTATAATTTAAACGCGATAAATATAAGCGTTTGAATGAAATAAACAAAATTCATTAAATATCTCGAACACTGGATTTATTTACGTCAAATAAAATTGTGACTGTAAATTGTGACTTTCTCCAGGGACATATTTCTATATACCGATGGCCGCATCCTGATAACCTTCCATGCAAAACGAAGAGCGGGAAAGACGCAGCTAATGGCCTGTGTAACGATTATCCGCCTCAGGAGTCTGTTAAGCTTCTCGTTAGACTCTACGTTGTAAAGGGTTAGTCTAATGACGTAATATTACGTGCACCAAAAAAATGACTAATTTTAAAAATGTTCCACTTGTTTGCTTTGACATTAACTTACAGGTTATTCAAGAAAAGTAAATTTGAAGGTATATTATCGAAATATTTTTGTCCTTAATTGTAAAACCGATGACAGACACTTTTCTTTAATTTTATCTATTAAAACTCTTAATTCAAACTAGTCAAAGTAATTATAGATAAAAGCAAACGCTTGTAATGGGATATTATGAGACGTTTTCTTAGTACACATTTCCACCTTTTTTCTTTCTTTATTTCTTCTATTAAAAAGAACTAAAGGATGATTTAGAGATCCTTTTTGTGGGGAATTTGTCGGTACACCTTATACTCCTCGGTAAACTTATAGAAAGCCCGTCTGCGACATCGAGCTGACAGCAAATTTGCTTTTTGCGCAGGCATTAACTTACAGCCTAAGGATCCCCTCAGCGGCAAGTCCGATCCATATCTCTGCGTGAAGCTGGGAAAAAATTCTATCAGCGACAGGAAGAATTATATACCCAATCAATTGAACCCTACATTTGGCCGGTAAGATCAACAAAAAACTGCTGCACCTTCTTCCCAAGCATATCGCAGTATAGCTGTGCCCTTCGGGCGTTATCGGGAAATATTTTATCGATATCCATCTGTGCATCCGTGTGCATCGGCTTTTTGCAGCTTTCAAACTGCACGATCAGGTTTTCCAGCTACTTCACATAACAACGTAACAGGGATTAAAATTATTTTGATAATTGTGATGTTTTTGCTTTTTTAAAGGTGTAATATTTAAAAAATATACTCTCTCTCTCTTTACCTCTTAGATTCTCTAGCAATAAATAAAATAAAATTTTATTTTTTAGTACCGTGTAACTTTCTTCAAAATAATAATTAATAATTTATAAGTAGAATATTCTAAAAATATTTTATCAGTTTATTTTTCTAAAGGCATTACTTCTGGTGATTGATTTTGACTAAATAAAAAAATTGAAACAATTATTTTTAAACTGCACTATTGACTAGTTTTTAGTTATTTTATTTTGTGTAACAGTATGATATAAATATAATTAAAATTAAAATTATTTGATTAACCATCATATTTTTCTCTTTTAAATATTTTCTATTTAAAAAATAAACAGTTTTAGATTCGAGAGAAAAATGGATGGTATAAAATTTAATTTTTTAATGCTATGTTACTTATTTTGAATATTTGATATTCAATTATAAACATCTATTAATATATTTGTCATAAAAAATACGTTTAAAACGAATAAAAACATTTTTTTAATCATATTCACATATACGAGTATTAAAAAATACTAAGCTGTATTTAATAATTAATTATTCATATTAAGTGTTTTAAAAATTTATATATCCACAAATCTATCATAAGTTCACGAAAATTTATTCAAAATAAAGTTCTGAATCTTAATAAGTATATTTTAACACTGGAATTAAAATTATTAAATTCGACTTGCTTATTGTACAGTTGCCTTTTTGGTAAAATTTTATAATTTTCTTCAACTTATTTTTAGTATAATATGAGTATTAATGAGTTCCCCTAAAATTTATTACAGGTATATATTTTAAGAAAATATTATTTGTGAAGACAATCGTTTTTAAAAGAAAAAAATAAATTAAGAAATCACCTTTCTAAGCAGTAGAGTGACATTTTTGTGTAGTCTTCATAATCAATTTCGAGTAAGCTTAAAAAAGATTTATTAACACAAGATTTATTATCCTCAAGTTATTACTATTTGATAGCGTGTTCGAGATGGAGGCAAGCTTCCCACAGGATTATATGTTGGAGATTCAAGTGTGGGATTTCGATGTTACGACGGCTGATGATTTGATCGGCGTGACGCAAATTGACATCGAAAATCGATTTTACAGTCGGCATCGGGCGCATTGTGGAATCGCAAATGTTTATAGCACTGCTGGTTACAACGTCTGGAGGGATCGAGAGAAACCTGTACAGATTCTGGAGCTCCTCTGTAGGAAGAACAATTTACCGCTACCGGAATACGGAGAACACGAGATTAAGATTGGCAAGCAAGCATTTCCCTTCCACGCCGTGATCGAACACGAAAGCGTCGGTAAGTAATATCTCTGTCGGTTGAGAATTATTATTGTGACTGCTAAGTAATATTGCGATAGAGAGAGAGTTCATATCCTGATATAACTCAAACACTATTCATTTGTAATTCATTTACAATTTGAATAGAAAATGGAAGATCGTATTTATTTATAATAACCATTACTTGAATCTTATCTCAAAACCTTAACAGATGAGATATTCAGAATGAATATCCGAAACCCAGTTGATACAAACTAAAAGTAACATAACATCAATGTTATAATTTCTCAACAATATGAATGTAACATAACACACTTACACATAACAGTTACATTGCGGAGTGTGAAATTATAATAAATTGTGCTATATCGTTAGTTTGTGTCGACTGGGAAGAAAAATGTTGCAAAAATTTACTTTCTCTTGTATAGGAGAAGCTAAATAGTAAATCTTATATTATTATAATCTTTTTGAAATTAATAAATCAATAAATTTTTTTAAAAAGAACTTGTATCCTTGAATTTAAATAAAAATAAATTCCACAAGATAACAAATAATAGGGTGAAGTCGACTATTATGGAATGGGCTCCTAATATGGAATAATGGGGATTCTGCTAAACTAATAAGCGCATGTGGTTGATTCTATTATGAACTTTTTATTTTTAAAGTGAAACCATTTTGTTATTAGAAAATGCATTATTAGATCATGCGTGTAGTCGTTTCAAAAAAGATTTGAAGTGAAATTGGAAATTGTCAAATTTTATCAAGGTTAGTCTTTAAATTTTGTTTTAGTGTATAAAAATAAATATTTGATAACAAAGTCTACAAAGACAAAAATGATGCTTATGATTAATCACATTGCGTGTAAAATTAATATGCAAAAATCGTATGGCATTTTCGATATTAATAGTACGATAATAACTCGAGAGGCTTGTACTGCAAATGGTAATAATCACATTTGTATGTATAACAAGCACTGTGGCGTTGTGTATTTTATCGCCGGAAAATATTTAATAAATCAGAAATTTAAATTTAACAAAATAAATGCACGCTGAATCGTACTTATTATATTTTAAACCAATTATTAAATGATACACGGCATAATTATGCACGGTTTTGTGTTTTGTTTAAATTCAACTTGATAAATAAAAAATTGTATTTAAATGACATCGACAGATTCAAATTACGAGTAAAATGTATCTGCATTCATGTATCTTTACAAAACAGTTATTATCTGCGAATATTAAGGGACATAGGAATTTATAATACTTATATCTATCGCCTCTTTACAAGACATGAATACATCGAAAATTAAAAATAAGTGATTCGACATGCTTGCACATCGTTAATCATAAGACTCAGTTGATCGAGAATTGCTAATGAATAGCTAATGGTTTGGAAGAAGTGATAGCATTTTATGAAGTCAGGTTGACACTTGCCATGCGCATAATATAACATGGCGAGGTTTGTGTAAAAACTTGTAAATAGCACATTGTACACTGTAAAAACAAGTATCAAGGCCACATGCCTTAAATATCTCGAAAACAAGACATTTGAGAAAACGCTTTATACAAAAATTGTAAGATTTCAACAAATACATTAACAGTAATTGCTCTTAAAGTATATAGGATCTCTCAAAGTCAAACTTTAACATTTTTTATGAAAAGTCTCAATAGTCTTTTTAGTCACCCTGTGTCAATGTACAACAATGGAAGGAAGTAAATATATATATATAACATATGTATATTAACAACAAAAATTATGTTTCTTGAATTTTATAAAAATTAATTCCGGTGAACAAACTATCATCGTGAATTTGAATCTAACATTTTATCTAAAAAATTTCTAGAGATTAAAACTTGCTACCAACTAATTGAATAATTTCTTTGTAGATCAATTTATTATTAATATTTTCTTCCAGTTTTGCTTGAGAAAAATAAAATGTGATTTTAAAAATCAGATTAAACTGCGGCAAGAAACATTATTTCTATTCTTCAATAATTTATAAAAAATTACTTATTAAAATAATTTTATTGTTTTTTAAACTTTAAAAATATAAATAAAATGAAAAAATATATTGTCATTTATTAGAGCTTATTGTAATGTATTACAAATTCAATAAAACATAATTAATTAAAATATAATTTAATTATAAAGTAAAACGGCCTAAAAAGTAAATAAATTTATATTTTAAAATATTTTTCCGATCAAATTGTAAATAATTTTAATTTTTTCAAATAATGTTAGATTTTAAATTAGTGATATGAATGTATGATAATTAATTTTATATGTAAATCATATATTTGCCATATTAATAATTAATATGCAATATAAGAAATTATTGTCCACTATTTATTATACAATAATACAATATAACAATATATTTCTAGTTGCAATGTTTTAACAATTGCTTTCTAAATTTGAAATCAAGCTTTCGTGAATAATTGTTTCGTGAATAATTAAAATTATTTCAACATATTATATGATATAAGATTAAAATGTTTAAAATATGTGATTCTCTCGTAGAATAGCAAAAAATAGAGTTCAGTTTGTTCCAAGACAAACTTTGAGTTTTTCAGTTGAATCATAATTCCGAATGAATAACATAAATGTGTAGTTTAGGTTACATCTCACCGATGTTATTGATCTTTAAATACATTGTAGAGCATAGTGTTCTGACAATTCCTCACAAATATTAAATGAAATACGGCAAAGTTTCATAATAAGTGAGAAACGACATTAGTTGAAGACATATTACAAACAGTACAGTTTGTACGTTTGAAAATCCGTGCGAAAAAAAACCAATATAGTTATAGACCTCGTTTCGCTTCGTAGAAGGAATATGGAATGATCCTTGCTTTGTGTGAAAAGTTGTAAACTCATGGAACTTTGTTTTACGTGGAAAGTATACTTATACAAGTCTTACTGTAAAACTTTAATTTGTTATATCTTTTAAAGCAATGCTGTCCTCTACTGAATTTTAGAAAATTTTTAGAACACTTTTTCCTACGATATATCTAAAAACCAATAAAATTGATGAAGTAACCTAAACTGCACAGTATTATTAGTTACAGTAGCAATGTTGTTGCAAACTTTTTTTTGCGCTGTATGAAAAATATCAGACAGTATTTATCATTCATTGATGTTTATCATTCATTATCAATGATTTAACTAATCATTTCTCTGGCTGATTACTTTGATACTGTCTAACATACCTAACAATTGTTACTGACCAAATTAAATCTGGAAATGAGTTATAGTAAAGAAACTCAGATCGATATGTCATGACCATATCTCCGGAGTTTATCCCGAAGAGAAAGACTGATAAGCGATAAATGTATATTTATATTGAACATATTTGGATTTCAATGTATTTGATTGTATTCTTAGCTAATTTGCTGATTGCCTCTGACAGTCTTTTTTCAGCTAATATTAGATTCATTAGTTTATTATTTCTCTATCAATATTCATTATTTAATTTCGAGAGAGATCCAAAAATAAACAAAATTCTTTTTTGTAAATTTGTATTATACCCAAAAAGGGAAATAAGAAACTGACATTAAGAAACTTACACTAAATAATCAATGTGCGCCGACAGACAGAGAAGAATACATGGCTCTCAGTGTGCTTCATCACTGGCAAGATTTTCCTATTTGCGGATGCGCTCTGGTACCGGAGCACGTCGAGAGACGGCCACTTTTCAACGTTAAGAGACCCGGTCTCGAGCAGGTTGCATGAAATACAACGTCTGACCATGAAAAGTAACTCCGTTCGTTAGGAATCCGACCGTATCCGTGATACAGACATTCTCCTGGAAGAATAATTTTTCTACTTTAATTAATCGCATTTATCAAATGAGGAGTTACATTTCTGCGATCAGATTAAAAATCATCGCAAAATACTTTGGTCTATATAAATAAGTCCGACGTTTTCCATTGTTACTGTTGACATACAGAACGCCATTATAATGACATAATGATAAAAGAATACATTCGAAAAAATATGTAATTGAAATTGAAAATCTTGATATAATGATAAAAATATCACAATTTCAATAGTTTTCAAGTTATAAGTGCAATTATAAAGTTGATATATTGCGTATTAATTTAGAGGAAGATTGCCGATACAAATCTTCTAAAGTTCAGGAATCGAAAAAATAAGAAAGAAAAGGAAGATGCTAAAAATAGAGCATTTTTTATTCAATGATAAAATCTAAATTTATTATTCGACTGTTGGAAATCTTTTATCTCCTGGAAGAATAAAATAATAATTATTTATCTACTAGATCTAGGAAACGTTACAAAAATTAGATTTATTATTTATTGTGCTAAAATAAAATGTTTTTAGTTTTATATCATTGATGTGTCTTTAAAATAAAATTAATTGTATATTTATATGTTGGAAAATGAGTATTGAGTAGTATACGTAGAGAACGTAATTTTCTTAATGTACATTAAATATAACGTGTCCTATTTTATTTTAACATTCAAATATATGAAAATCACAGAGTTTTTGAAAAAGAATTTTGTTTTATATCAAAGTTGTGAGACTTTGTGGGAGATATCACTCGGGACGGATTGATAGAAGAAGAGTGATAGATGAAGAGTGATTCTCTCTTAACGACAAAAAAAAATCTGTCAATTAAAATTACAGCTGATAAAAGGAAAGTCGTACATGAGTTAATGGTTCGGACTAATGTGTGACAGTTAAGAGAGACATGAGATTGTAAAGCATAGAAAATATTATATTATTTGTATCAGGCAAATATAACATTATAATTACCTTGTGGCTGCTTCGTTGTCCAATGACTGGATTCCCAATCTCTTCCTTTTCTCTCTCTCTCTCTCTCTCTCTCTCTCTCTCTCTCTTGCTTTTCATTTATTACGCGTTTATGACATTTATATAACTACTATCCGTGAAAATATGTTAATTACACAATGCATTAATTATCAGAATGTGACAAATTTCGGGGGATTTTATCTCTCAAATCAACGGTATTTGTACACTAACCAAAGTTACTCTTTGCGCAGATAGCAAATATTAAAATATGAAATTCATAATTACAATTTTGCTTATTAATTAAATATCGCGATGCTATTCAATCCTTAATCAATATGAAATTCTGTACACGTGACATTTGGTTAATAAATAAAAAATTAGCGACTTTATATACATGCAACACAATACGATAAAGTGAAATTAATTGTTAATTAAAGCGAAATGGAACGTTGAGAAATATGAAATTGAGACTCAGTATTGCACACGTGCAGCATTGAATAAATAAATCTCATGAAATTCTACACGCAATAGATATAATAAACAATACACACCTAACACGTCGAACACGTGCTTTCTGTAACTTGAATCTATTGACACGTGTATCATTCCGCGTTCTTAATACGAAAATAATAGTAAAATTGTATTTGAATCAATAAAAACTTTGATGCCTGTGTTAGCTACAAAGAGAGAAAGATTTATTTGAATTCGAAACTCCTATTTATGTTTATTTTATTGAAATAATTTAATTTTGAAAGAAAACTATTTTGTTTAATTTCAGAACTTTAGGTTGAATGCAATCAATTTATATGTTTCTCAATTTACAGAATCAATTTGTTTAGATTTATTTCAATGACTACACTTATTAAATGTAAAGAAATCTTTCTCTCTGTATAGACTACGCATTGGAATTTGAGGAGTTAATTGAAAATTGGAATTTCACTAATCAGAATAAAATAGATTATAATTATCCGATTAGTTAAAGTTTAATCTCTCATTTGCCGTTCTCAGTTTACAATGCGTAATATGAGACAGACTTTAAGATCTTACGCATTAAGAACGCGAATTGGATTCGGATTGCGAACTACGAATTAGATTGGCTGATCAATAATTCACAGTTCGCAATACGAATCCAATCCTCATTCATACAGTATAATACGGGCTTTAAAGAGCAGCGCGCAATGTACTCGTACTCGAGCTGAAGAAATAATTATCTCGTGTGAATAACGATTATTTATAGTCGGCATTCATAGTCAGTTCTCATATTTATGACTGTCTTAAGTACAGTCCCTTAAGGTGTCATAAATTAATCATAGAACCGTATATTAGTATCACAAGACATTACTTAAGACAATTTTGAAACAATTACGATCTATAAAACTCTCGTGTTCTGTTGCTCCAATTTCTCTACAATACTCTTTTACGTAATAACGAATAAAATGAAAGAGAATAAAAGAATAAAATAAAAGAAATAAGAATAGTTTTTTCTAAGAATAAGAATAAATAAAAAACGAAATGGCCTCCACCTACACGAGCTTCTACGATTATTTAGCATAAATAATATATCTTATTACCTTATAAATACACACATTTTACTTATTTTTGTTAAGTAAATCGCGCGGAATGTGTGCTTCGATAGTAGATGAGTTTAAAAATTTAATCGTGAAGGTTAATGGAAAATTGACAATCGCTAATTATTCAGAGAGATTAATCGAGTTTTGCAAAGTGATAACGCGACAACACGCGCTGCTGCCTATCCATTCGAGCCTGCGAATGATAGCACGACGACCTTGTAAATACGTCGTACGTCGCAATGACAAACACCAAGACTACATGCCAGTCAAACCAAATACTCGAAATATTCGATGCTTTATAAAATAAAATCACGCCGAATTCAGTGCTTTCTATTCATGATAAATAGATTACCGCTATACTTCAATATAAAAATGAAATTTATGATAAAAAATATTCGCATTAAATTATTATTAATGTTATTAATTATTACACATCAAACTTCATGTTATTATTACGCACCAAATTATTACGTTCCTTATGAGAAACATACGATATTATTAATAATTCTTTTCGTAAACTTAATAAATAAAAAATTAAATTGAATTTTCGCGTAAAATGTAGCGTGACTGATCCTCTTTTTTATTTTGTAAAATTATACAGTTAAAACTAATAATAAAGTTACTATTGCAGATATTAATAATAATTTGAATACTAATATCATAATTATTATACAATTTTATTCATTACAAAACGTAGATATATTTCTAAATTAGATTTTCAATTACCTTTAATAATTATTTTAAATAAAGTAATTAATTGTAATTATTTAAATTTTTATTAAGGAAAGAGGTTAAACAATTAGTTGATCATGAAAGTACTTAATGCTTAACTATAAAAAATTAAAAAACAAAATAAGTTATAAAAATAAAATATATCCTAAAAATCAATACTACATATAAACTTTAAATGCGATAGCATTGGTTAACCATTTATAACTTGAAAATGACTACGATATTTTTACATTAAATGAGTATTTCTTTTACAGATAAAATTATCAAAAAAACTAGAAGCTTTGAATAAAAAGCCCCGTAAAATCCAGTTTTTTAATCTGACCTTGAAAATTTTTTACTCGAATATGTATTTTCTTTATAATAATAATAATCCATATTTGATGTCATATTTTTATTCTAAAATTTTTTAATTTGTACAATCACACATCCAAATAATTTTCTTTAAATGCAATGACTAATTGTAAGTGTCGATAATCATGGAAACAGTTACGTTGGATCTAATATTGTTAGATTTAATTTCAAAAATATATAAGTATATCAATTTATTAGATACTGTAACAATGCGAAAACATTTTACACCTTAATATTTAAAATTTTAAAGATATTAAATAAAGTAGATATTAAACTTTAGATATTAATCATACATTGAAAAGAAAAGTTAAATTTTTATAAATATTTGATATTTGAATAATATTAGTCAAATATTTACTAAATGTAAACATATATCTATTTACAAGAACCATTAATTTAGTTTAACTATTATTATTTAGCAATTATTTATTTTCCGTAAATAAATGTTAGTAGTATAATTCAAACAATTATTTATTAAAATTTGGTACATTTTTCTCGTAATGCACGATTATATTATAAGTTTTCTATATAAAAATTGCATTTTAGGGCAAACTCGAAATGTGGATCGACATGTTTCGAATAGAACAATTGCCACCGAAACCGGCGGTCAACATTGCTCCTCCAATACCGGAGGAATATGAAATTCGCGTTATTGTTTGGAATACCGAAGACGTGCCATTGACTGAGAGCCAATTCCTCACCGGAGAAAAATGCTCCGACATTTATGTCAAAGGGTATGTCATCAAACGTATAAGATCGATGGGTAAAAATATTTCATTAAACTTTATCTAATGATTATATATAATAACAATAAAAGAGTTGGAAATGACGAGGGTTCCGAGGGTTCGATCAAATTATCAAATATCACATTATCGCTCGCGATTAATTACTTCTCCTGATTAACAATTTATAAGTGTACCAAGACAATATTTTCGGCCATATTTAATGCAGACATGTAATTTATTAAATTGGAGCAAAAATCGAAAATCAAAAGTGGAAATTGCAAATTATCTTAATTAATTATTATATACAAATTATCTTAATTAAATTATTATATATTGTGATATTTATGAGTAATATTAGAGACAATTTTTGCGAATTCGAATATATCTCGCCTTAAATTTTTCATTTTCAATTCATAAATTTTAATTTAGGATATCGTGTAAATGCAATTTAAATCATCTATGTATTAATCCTTCCGCTTTAATTCCATATAGTTTGCGAAATTTGTCTTTAATTGTTATTATTGTATCAAATATATAGGGTTAAAATTTTCAAACGTAATGGTTCAAATATCTCGAAAAATAAAGAAAATACGGAAAAACGTTTCAAACAAAAATTCTATAGCTTAATGAGGCACAAATACTGATAAAATTAATTTTTGAAGAAGTCCTTTTGTAAGTCAGATAAAATTTATTCATTTCTTTCATTTTTTTCATGGACTTATATAATTTTTTTATACATATATAATTCCTGTAATTACTCTGGATGTAAAAGTATAAATATATAGACATCTAAAAATTAATAATTTACAAGATATTCTATATTTTATGTCAGAATATTCTAAAATAAAGCACAAAATGTCTTCTGATGTTTTGATATTTCTATTTTAATACTTTTATATGAATAATAATTGAAGAAATCATATTACATAAAAAGATTATATAATTTCATTTTAAAAAACGGTGATAACTTTTATATAATCTTAAAAAATTAATTTTTTTTGAAAATTATTTTATCATTATTTTTCGTCTCAACAATAATTTAATTTTTAATCGATTATTTGTAATATTAATCAATTTTCATTCTAATTCAATAAAATAACTGACTTTACGGTAAAGACGATCGATCGACTCGCTATTGTCAAGTTCGCTATATTTTCGAAATAAAATATCCGTAGATGGATTCAATACGAGAATTACCAAAAAACCGACATTCACTATAACTCTCTGACCGGTGAGGGTAACTTCAATTGGAGATTCGTATTTCGCATCACATATTCGAAAGGCGAGAATGTTATGATAGTTCGCAGAAGAATGTCTGTGTTCGCTACAAATGAAGTCGAAGAGAAGTTGCCTTGCAAGCTTCATCTACAAGTCTGGGACAGTGATCATTTTTCTTCGGATGATTTTCTAGGTAAAATAGCCATCAATTTGTTTCAATACAGAAACGTTTAAAATATCGATTGATGACTGTAGCCGAGATTAAACTAAATAAATCTCGCATGCGATACAATACCCGATAAAATACTCGATACAAAACAATCACATAATTCACTTTATACTCAATTATTTTCAAATCAACTTGAATACATATATAAATTCAGTTTGTATAAATTGTAGAACAATTTTTTATTTATATTTGCAATATAAATACAAAATTTTGCGCGTAAAGAGAAAACTGTATTTCGCGAAACAAAAATTATTTACATATCTGGAAAAATAAATTATACCAAGCTTATAATTAATTGAAGTATTATATTGTATAAATGTTACAATAGTCCTCCGATAAATCAACGTGTTGCAGGAGAGTTGACACTAGACCTGTCCAGAATGCCGCGTGGAAGTTCAAACTCCAAAAACTGTACGCTGAAATTACTCGAACCGCAATTACCTACAATAAATTTATTCAAAGTTACTCGGACTAGAGCTTGGTGGCCTTTTGTGCGTGGTATTGACAGCGGTAGATATATTCAAGCGGTAAAATGTTACAAAACTACAAAGGTTTTGGTTAAATTATAAAACAAATATATGTATAATTATATACATATAGCAATGTGCATAATTAGATGAAAACTATCCTGTGAAGAAAGATGAAAATATTAGGTCTGCTTTTTATTGCTGCAATTTGAACCGATGCAATAAGTTGAAATGAAACAAATATATATTTTCACTTTAACTTATTACACTATGTGTACTAGTTCAGAAAGTGCAACAATAGAAAACAGACTTAAAATTATTAGATAATATTTCATCGTATAATAATTATATCCTCTTTCACTGCAGGGTAAAATTGAACTGGAAATATTCTTGTTGAAAGCAATAGATGCAGATAATGAACCGGCAGGCAAAGGAAGAGATCCACCTCAAAATCTTCCACCCCCGAGGTTTATCTCTCCTCACTCTAATTTTATTTTTATTTATATCTTTGCGCTTACTTGAATTATAATTAAATATTAAGTTAATACAGAGATTAAAATTAAATGCATTTAAATATCACTTCCTTAATAATGTTCTATTTTGATCAAATTAACCTGCTTAACCCTCTTCTATATTTAATATTTCCAATTATTGATTATTGCCGAGAATTATTATGGCATTATACTATATATGTGATTTACAGACGACCCGATACTTCATTCTCTTGGTTCCGCAATCCATGGAGAGCGTGTTGTTTCGTCGTTTGTCGCTATTATAAATGGCGAATTCTATGCTGTCTTACGTGTACACTATTTGTGCTTTTAGTAGCATGCGGGATTTACGCTTTTCCAGGATACTTTGTTAAACGTCTCTTAGGCGCTTAGTTTTGAAGCGAAATATTTATGTAAAAAACGTATATATGAATACTTTTAATTGTAAGTCATATTTTCGTAAGTCAAATATAAAAACTGATATTAAGTAATTATATATGGTAATTTATATGAAGATAATAAATAAATAACCATGTTCGCTTTCTATTGTTTAATCTGTTTTTATTAAAAATATGAAAGTTATAAAATTAAGTAATAAATTATTTACAAAAATGGGCATATATATATATATATA